GGTCGGTGTGGAGCCGACTTGTCCCCTGCCTGGGATAGCCAGGGTCAGGCCTTCATTGGATTCCCATGTCCGTCCCTTCGCTTCGTGTGAGGGTCTGCCTGGGTGTTTGGGTAGTGCTGGGCCTCAGGGAGTCCTGTGAGTTGAGGCATCCAGTTTCCATCCTCTCACCTAGCTCCAGAGTAGGGGAGATGATGGCAAGAGCTAGGAGGGATCTGGCGTGAGGCTGGACCCCATGGTGCTGGAAATGGCCGCTCCCTGTGGATGCAGGTGAGGCCTTTCTCCTGGCCCCGCAGGGTGCTTTGCTCTGCAGCCCATCCTGCTGGCCTGCTCCAGCAGTGCCTCTGCACCCCCTCCAGGTTGCAGGGCCCTGCTTTACCTTATGGCACTGGCTGCGTGCTGAGACCACCCAACTCATCTCACTTGTTGCCTTGGAATGAGATGAGAAGATGCTCATGTATAGGTTTTGCTGGCAATATAATACACTAGTTGTAGCTATAGCTGGGGCCCTAGACTTGAGCGAGTAGGGTAAGACTATTTCACTTGTTGTGTGTATATACACACAGATATCTGTCTGTCTTACATTTAGTTCATGGCAGGAAACAGCTTTCAAATAGAAAATATGTGTTATTGTCAATGTTTTTGCAAGACGAGTACGTTTTGGGGTTGTGGGTAGGCATCTGATCTCAAAGCACTAGCAGAAACTTGGAAAAAGGCTCAGATGGAGGAAGGCTGCAGCTTTTCTCTAGGCCTGTGGAGTGTGGTTTGGGATGAAGCAGTTGCACGTCTCCTGGCTCTGAGTGCTTGAGCACCGCAGGAGCACCCGGCTGTTGCCCAGGACATTGCTCTGAGGTGGTTTTGTGTGTGGATGTGCGCTGGGCTTTTCCACTCACAGCCGCTACTGCTTTCCAGGCTCTGGGAAGAAAGAGTTGTTGCTGGGACTGGTTGGATGGAGTAAGTCAGCAGCTGGGCTATGCTCGTCCCTGCTAGGTTTTTCTTTCTCAAGCCCATCTCTCAATCATGATGGGTTTGTGGGCTCCAGCTACCTAAGTTGAAGTCTTCAGGAGCAGCACCGCTGCAGAGTGCCATTGACACAGCTTTCTCCCAGTGTTTACTGGGGAGGAAGACAGCTATGTCCCCAGCCTTTCTGAGAACTGGAATGGATCTAGCTTAAAAAGCAAACAAAGACAGTAAAACTTCTTGAAATATTTTTTAGCCACATCAGGTTTCCCCCCAGCATGTCACAGTTGTGCTGGCACTGTGAAGGGAAACGGTATAGGGGCAGGAGCGAGCAGAGATGGGGAACGGCAGTGTGATGAGCTGCTGTCAGCTCTCAAGCTCTGTCTTGGGAAGCTGCTGAGGAGTTGCTTTGGGTCCATGTGAAGTCTTACGTCCCCCATGGCTCCTTCTGGATGCCTGGCACATTTCTCAGGTGTTTGTTGACTTAGCCGAGGGAGTCTGAGCTGGGACAGGAAGAGCATGGGATGAACGGGAGCCAGGTTGTCTCTTGTCACCTGGCTCTTGTGGGGTGGACGTGTTGGACAAGCCCGAGGGCATCAAAGATGACCTCTGTCTGCTCATGGTGGCACTGGAAATGTTGGCAAGGGCTCCTTCAGTCCTCGTGGCACTGAGGTGGAGCTGTGTCCTGGAGGGGCTTGAGGCTAGGAGCCCTCTCCCTTCCCCGACTGGGGCTGTGGGCTCTCTATGAGTGAAGCCAGTAGCTGCCTGCGCTGGGGCACGGGCAGTGCTTTGCCCTCACTGACGGGCTGTTCCGGAGAAGGCAGCAATGCAGATGCTTCCAAGGGACAAGGCAAGGGAGTAATCCTTCCACGGAGTCGGGGGCACACAGGGCTCGCTGCTCGGGGAGCGGCTGTCTCGCATGGAGGAGGAGGAGGGCTGGGGCAGCTGCTGGCCGGAGACTGCTGCCGCCTCCCCTGAGCACTTGCATGTCCAGTTTCATAATCGGATTAAGGCAGTGGTATTAGAGAGGAGGGATGGGTCAGTGGGACAGGTTTACACTGGGGCTTACACGGAGGGGATTGAAGTGTATTTTTTAACCCTGCTCAGCCTGACCTGGGGAGCGGTGCAGATGCGGCTCTGCAAGGCAACACCCAGCGGGAAGATGGGGGGAAAAGTGGCACCAGGCAGTGATGTGCTCGCCGGGGAGGAGAGCAGCCCCAGGCCGGCTGGGGGATGGGATCTGGCCGCCCCTCCCCCCCGGGAAGGCAGCCCTGCTCAGGCCTTGCAGTAAATTTGCTCTAATTACAGCCTCCAGCAGTGGGAAACCTCACTTAGAGGAAAGGCTCCTCTGGGGTGGGGGCGGGGGCGCTTCCCAGCTTTCCCAGGCAGGCTCTGTTGTCTGAGGCCTCCGCTTCCCCTGTCGCTGGGAGGCCCCTTATTCCTCTCCCCTCTCCAGCTTTGCTTCTCTCCCCCCCTTTAATTCTCTTCTCCTTTGAGGCTGGGATTTGGGAACAATGCCTTCCCTGCTCCTTGCCCCCCGGCTGGAGCCGCAGGCAAACAATCGGGGTCGCTTGATGCCAGGGGCCGGGCCGAGGGGGCTCAGCCCAGCAGCACCTGCCCCAGGCTGGTGGGGGGACCGTGCTGGGTTGTGACTTGGGGACATGTCTGGTGTGGTAGCTGATGTGTGTCTGCGCACACCGTTTCCTTCTTGGGGATGGGAGGTCTCATCTTGATCCCTTCTGGTTCGGGGAGGTCCGGGAACCTCTGCGCAAATGTGTTGGAGGATGCTCTTGGCAACGGCAATAATCTGATCCGGAGCTCTTCTGTTTGCAGGTGGACGATGCGATGCTGATGTTTGACAAGACAACCAATCGACACCGAGGTGAGAGTGGTCTTCTGGCCGTAGCAGAGGGAACTGCGGAGGGTTTGCCTCCTGCCTTGCGTAGGGAGGGGTTAGTATCCCAGCAGCAGGGCATGCGGGTCGCAGCTGCTCTTTATCTTGCCTCCAGTCGCCCCATCCTTTTGCATCTGCATCCTTTACCAGCGTCCCTTGCAGCACAGAGGGCTTTTGTCCAGTGCGTTTCCTGTGCTGTAAACTCGCCGAGTTGCAGATATGTGAGAGGAGGTGGCCCCCTCCCCTGCCCGCTTACCTCCATGGCTCCAGCCCGCAGTGTGTGTCTTACCTTGTCCCGAGTAATCTGAGCTCCGGGAAAGCTGACACGAGAGCCTGAAGAGTGCCTGCCTCTCGCCCCTTCCTCGGCTCGGAGCCCGCTTGTGCTCTCAGGTCACTTTTTCTTACCCGAGTCTTGCTGGTGGAGTCTGGTTACAGGATGGGAGCAAGGCTGTAATATTTGTGTGTCCGGACCCAGCCCACCCATGGGCGTCCCTGCCTGCTGCTCTCCCAGCAAGCCTTCAGACCGACTGCCCCAGCGTGTGGCAGGGCTTGACACTAGCCAGCATTGCACCAGCTCAAGAGATTTATTGGCAACAACTTAACCTGCAAACTTAGCTTCAGTGTCTTCCAAATCAAGGCCAGTAACAGCCCTATGCTGGGCCACTCTCATGTCTGTGTGTTGTTTGAAGCACTTCCAAGCACCTCTGCCCCCAGAGCAGTGAGGGAACGCTCCCTTCTGTTCTTGCTACACCATGTGCCCTTCAGGTTTTTGCTTTTTTCTAAAGCCATTAAATCTATTCTGGTTGCCTGGCCTAGGATGTTGTTCAGCTTCATCTTGAAAGGGAAGAAGTGTTAACCCCTGTTCCTCCATGGATGTCTCCCTGTCACTAGGCCAATTAAAGAGTTGTCGGGCATTTCAGAAGGAGCAGGGAGAGCTGCCAGCTGCCATGTTGGCAGTGTGGGGCTCTGCCCAGGGCACAGCAGACCTGGTGGGGGTCTGATGGGGCGCAGGACTGGTTTCGGCATCGAGGTGTTGCTCTTGAATTCCCGAGCTCCTCTGCTCGTGCATGTTGAGGTGAATGGTGTGAAACTACCTGAGCACAGAGAGACGGATGAGCTCATGGAGACTTTTCTGGCAGTATGGAGAAAAAGTGGGGTTCTGGGCAGCAACTCCCTGTGTGTTTTTAGAAGTTATTTTAAAGCACCATGGAATTGGCCAGTTCTGGAAAGCGGAAAGCTTTGCTTAATCCCAGTTTGCTTGTAAGGCAAGCTTAAAGACATCCTCCCACCTGCCTCAGTTTTCCAGAAGTGGCTGCAGTCAGCTGAGAGGAGTTTAGTCTGCCCACCCAAGCTAGTCTTTGCCAAAACTGTCAGCAAAGGGGTTGGTGAGTGAAAGGAGGTGTGAGCGTGGGCCAGGGGCCAGGAACATCCTGTCCTGTCTTACCGCAGATACTAACCTTGCTTTGGTGAAGCTTTGCAAATCTCTTTGCTCATGTGTATCTGTCTTGCTCTGTACAACTGCATTGCTGATACTTGCCTGCTTATACAAGGCTTTATGACCAGTGGCTGAAGAGGAAACGTGCAGGGTGTTATTGCTGGTGGGGTGCGTTTAGCCAGGATGGTGATGTCCTGGCAAGCAGCTGTTCATTTCTCCACCGAGTCCCTTTGTGTGAGCGTCTGCCGGGATCTTCCCCAGCATTATCAGCCATGTGGTTTGCCTTGCAAATAGGAAAGTTTAAAAAAAAAAAAAAAAGACTTGGTTTTTAGAGCAGTTGGGTTCAGAGAGGGTGGGAAGTAAAGGATGAGGAAAGGGGAATCTGTAAGGGGACAGTCCTGTTCTTGTGCATAAAAGCAGGATTTGCTGGAGAGGGAAGATGAGTGACAGCTGTTTTAGAAAGGGCTGATTGTACCGTCCTTCTCTTCTGCCAATAAAAGGATGTGGGTAGCAGGTGCATACTGCACAGAGCTCTGACCTGATCAAGGAGTTTTGCCTTTTCTTCAGGGTTTGGGTTTGTCACATTTGAAAGTGAAGACATTGTAGAAAAAGTGTGTGAAATCCACTTCCATGAGATCAACAACAAAATGGTGAGTGTCTGGGGCAGAACCTGGGGGAGAAGGGAACAGAGGTATGGGATAGAGTGGGGCAGTGGTACAGGGGCAGGGTGGGAGGCACTCGGATCCCAACACTTTCCTCTGCAGTGGGGAATTGGATTGAGTCTTTTCCCCAAAATCACAGCAGCCAATCTGGGAAAGAATCTCTCATTGTGGAGGTGAACCAGCACGATACCGAGCTTTCAAGGAGAAGAGCTAACTCTAACAAGGAATTGTGCAGTACTTGGAGGCTTCAAAGTTACATGAAACCTCTTAGCAGCCTGGTACAGGGCAGGTTTTACCTTTATTCAAACACAAGCAAAATTCAACTTGGAGGCCCTGGTGCAGCGCAAGGCAGAGCATCAAGGGAGGAGAAAAGCAAAGGGAGTTTGAGCTCCCTGTTGCCTGTGGTGGCTGCAGAGCGATGGGGAAGGCTGGCAGCGTGCAGGCCAGAGGCCGGGATGCTAGGGAAGGACAGCGGGACAGGCTGGTGGCAGTGGCCAGGGCTGGGGAGTGCTGTCACAGCTGGCAGCCCTGTCTGGCCCGCAGCCGGGGCGCTGCCTGTGCTCTGTGGCACTGCTCTGTGCTGGTGGCAGCTGAGCCTGATCCTTAATGTTCTTGTGGCAGGTGGAGTGTAAAAAAGCCCAGCCGAAGGAGGTGATGTCCCCAACGGGCTCGGCACGAGGGCGGTCCCGAGTCATGCCTTACGGGATGGATGCCTTCATGCTTGGGATCGGCATGCTGGGTAAGCCCAAAGACGGATCTCCTCCCCAGCTCCCGGTCGTGCCAGGCAGCAGCTTAGAGGTTTTATTCTGAGAGCGGGCAGTGCGGCCAAGGGCAGCTCTCCCTGGTGCAAGGCTGGGGACGCTGGGAGGGCGCCGGGACCTGTTTGCGATCACAACTTGCCCTCTGGTGGCACCTGGAAAAACTGCAAACTTGTCACTGCTGTCCTGCGACAGCCGGAGCTGGCCGGGCACAGCCATGTGCTGGGCAGCTCTGGCCCTCTGCAACTCCTTTAACGGTCCTGCATAGCATATAGACTGTAATTCTTCAATGCTTCTCGTGGAATAGGATGTAACTGCATAGCTGAACCGAGTGTGGAACAATCTGCCCACGCATCTTCCTCCCACACTTCTACAGGCTTTCTGATGAATTAGTTGATTAAAGAGCCCCCAAGCTTCCACTTGAAACAGTGGTCCATATAAATATCCTCACTGCTATGTAAAAACTATAAAAATGCCCTTAAAGTTCTAGTTAAGCTTGGTCTCATTTTGTTCCCTCCCTCTCAGGGACAGCGAGTATCCGGTATTGCAAGGAAAACCATACACTTATCATGGGACTGTCTTGTAAGGAGAAATTGGTGACAAGCAGACTGGGTTTCATTTCTATCAATGGTTCTAAGGCAAATGTGTTCAGATAAAAGATTAAAAAAAGAAAAAAGTCCTTTGTAGCCCCCACTTCCAGGTCTATAAACCCTCGTGCCTGGAGCTGAGAGTCAAGCATGATCCTTCCAGCGCAGGTGCTATTCCTGGCTTCTCTCCCTCCCCACGTTTGTTCTAGCCAGGCTTGAGCTGACCCAAGAGCGCACTGTTTGCTCAGGATCATCGCTGGTGTTGTTGGGCAGGGTGTGCTCAGCCTGGATCTACTTGCTAAGCCTGCCGAATAGCAGTTAGTGAATGAACAAAACTCCAAAAAGGGCATTTTTTTCCCCAATGTTTTCACTTGACTTATTGAAGGAAAAATAAATCTCCAGCATGTGGGTTTGGGTTTTGCCTTTTCTAAGTCATCTGAATTTTAAAGCAGCAAGGCTCAAGCTGAGTCACTGGGAAATCCATGTACTCATGTCTTGGGAGATCTCAAATCAAATATTCATCTCTGAGTCAGTGCCCTGCGTTCTCACAGGCTTGTTCTGGATAGGTGGTCAGCTTCCTGGGGAATGGCAGGAAGTGTCCTCCTGCCCAGTGCCAGGAAGAAGCGTTCTGCCTGCATTTGCCAGCACTTCTAGTGCAAAAGCAACTCAGAGCTATTCAGCTGTTCAAGTGCCCCCACCTCCCTGATCTTCTTCTGTTTGTAAATCCAGCTGATGCATCAGAAAGCCTTAGTCTGCAGAGCTGTGAGTTACTGAGAAGGAAAAACTCCGTATCCTTACATGTTCGGAGTGAGGAAAAAATTACATGGGCCTGCTAAAACTCTTCTGCAGACTTGCATGTGTGCAGATTCTGCACAGCAGTTTCCTGGGGTTTCTGCTATTGGCCATATTTGTGCGTTCTAACACTAATGGTCATGCTGCTCCTGAGCAGCCAGGCACTGAGGACGTGGACCCTGCAAGCTTGCAGTAACAGAGCCCTTTTCTCTTCCCCCAGGTTATCCAGGCTTCCAAGCTGCCACCTATGCGAGTCGAAGTTACACTGGCATTGCACCTGGCTACACTTACCAGTTCCCTGGTGAGTGGTGCTCCCTGCTTGTTTTTTTGGTCTGCCTTCAGGTGATGGGAGTCCCTGGCATGATCCATGACCCAGGCTCTGCCCCTTTCACCCTTTCCCCTGTTTGGTCTTTCTTTAAATTGGAGACGGATGTGGAAGGGGGAGGGGTGAAGCCCTGGAATAGGTGGGAACAGCCTGTCCTTCATTAGGATTATCCTTGCACTCCAGTGGCAGGAAAAGCCCAAGGCTGCTCTGCTGCCCTTTATGTTAGCCTCCTCCATAGGGCTGCTGCTGTGACACAGAAGGGCCCCTGCAGCTCTGCCTATCTCGCTGCCGTTGTGTGTGTCTTTCTCTCTTTACCAGAGTTGCCACTGCTCTGAAAGTAGCACAGGATTTTAAAACGTGCCTTTCCGTGGGTCAAGGAACTCCTAGGCACCCGAAATGCAGGCGCCTGTAACGCTACGGTTGTGTTCTGAAAAGCGCCTGGACCACTCACAGCCTCCAGAAAACATCTGCTGGGTCGGTGGGTTGCAGTTTTCCCGCAAACTGGGTGGTTTCAAGCTCCCAACCCCGCCATGTGCTCAGAACATGGACTCTGCAATCAATGGCTGAAACCTGCTGTGCTGCAGCTGCTCAGAGCTTTCTGGGGCCTCTTCTCCCTCCCGTTCTCAGCAAGGCAGGGGAACAAGGCAGAGCACAGTTGGAGAAAAGGCTGTCTTGCTATTTTCTAGAGAAGTGGCAACTCCGAGCATCCCTTCCTTACTCCATTCCTCCGTGTTATGGTTTATATATGAAGTCTTGATGCTAGGGGCTGGGAATGGGGAGTTTCCTCTTCGCCTGAGACGAGCCCAGGCTGACTGTGGCTGAAAGTTGTTGTTGCCTCTGAGCACTCTGGAAGCTCTCTGTGACTCCAGTTTATGGGTCTCAGTTGCAGTGGTTTCAAGTGCCTCATTGTAAACCCATGCCCACGTGAGTGTGGCACATACTGAGCACCCACCGGCATTGCAGCCGAGAGGTCAGATTCGATGGATGCGTCACAGAGCAGTGCTCCGAGGCAGACCTGAGGCTGCACAGTGAAGCTTGCACTTGCCCTGCCTTGGCCATATTTATTCTAAGGATAAATGGATCCTTTCAGTCTCCAGGGCAGGAGTCCAGCACCTTTCAGCACCAGTTATAAATTAGTTTAAAGAAGACACTGGTCTGGTCACAGTCTGGCTGCAGGCTGCTCCCCCAGCAGACCCTGGCTGCTGTCTCTCTGCGGGGTCTCCCTTGGGGCATTTGACGAGTTCCTAAGCTGTCTTGCATTTCGTTTTTAGAGTTCCGTGTAGAGCGGACCCCTCTCCCGAGTGCCCCCGTCCTCCCTGAGCTCACAGGTCAGTCCCGCTCATTTCCTACACTCACAAGCTGGAAGGGGAGAAGGGGGCTTTGGGCTATTCCAGCGGTGTCCTGCTCCACAGCCTGGTGCAGTTAGACTGGAAACGTTCTTTATTTCCTCTTCCATCTGTACGAGCTCCATCCAAAGCTGGGGCTGGAAAGATGGAGAGGCAATCAGAGCCATGTATATTGCCTCTGAGAAGGGCAATGCAGGTCATACCAAATGAAGGCATGTAATCGTTAGATGGTGTTTCCTGCTGCTTGCCTCATTTTTAGCCCCTTGCCCCAGGCTGGGTGTAAACCAGATATGGAAAACTGTAGAGAGCAGGGTGACTTCTCAAAGGTCTACAAATGACCTTAACCTTAACCTGCAAGGATGAGATTTGGAGTGCTGGGAGGAGGGAGAGGGTGCGGGGGCACTCCTGGTGGCTCGAGTAATCCCATTTCCCTGTGCAGGAGTGGCTGCAGGGAATGCTCTCCCCACTCCAGGTGGTGCAGCTCCCCAGCTACTCCCACACAGGCTTCCCAGGCAGAAGCGAGCATGGTGGGATTCCACAGTAAAGTCCCGCAGTGCTTGTAGGGAACTGTGGAATGCAATGGGGGCAGAGGACAATTCTCCAGAGACTAGTCCTGGCTCAGTGTCCTCACAATGCAAATACCCTCTGGATCCTCAGCCTCTGGGTTGTCTGCAGTGTTTTCTCTCTAGGTGACGCTCCTTCTGTCTACTCTCCCTTCCATGGCCATGTTTTCCCCAGCTCTGTTGTGTCCATGGTTTCTGTTGTAGAAAAGCAGCTTTCTGTAGCACCCTGCTCCCCGTGTGCCATCTCATTTCTGTGGTGTTCCTCCTCCCCAGCGCTTCCTTGCCTCCACCTGTTTCAGGGTTTGAATCTCTCTGCAGTGGGAGTGGGAGAAAGCTTCCTGGGAAGCTCTCCTGGAATCATCAGTACAAACAGGCTTCAAAGGGGGTTTCTGTGGCATGGAACCATCTTGATCCTCAGGGAGTCTCTGTTCCTGAGGATGCTGAGGTTGGCAGCCACCAATGAACAAACCGCCCCGAGGGAGGTAGGGGGACACCAAATCCTAGCTCCCTCTTAATAAAACCCTTCTCTGACACCATGTATACAACTGCATAAGCACCTGACCACCCACCTCTGAGCCTTTTGGTTGCTAAGCAAAGGAGATGCGAGTCCAGTGTGTATTCACGTGTGTGTTTTTCAGCAAAACCTGTAAAATTTGTAGAGGAACGTTGGTTACTCGGCAAAAGTGCTTTTCCCTCTGAGGTCTGCCCCCGGCTGCACTGTGCCTTTTCCTAGCGGAGGGGCCCGGCTGTCACCAGCGGCTGGGGTGCACCAGGGCTCTGTACAACAAGAAGTTATTAATGCTGCTGTCCTGGCTGGGTGCCATGTTAGCTTACAGTCCTGAGTGTCTCGCTGAAGTACCAGCTGGGGATCGTGGCATTCTTCCCTTCCCGTTACGCTTACCTACTGTTAAACAGTCACTGTGCAGCCGCTTGGCTAGGCCAAGAGCTGCGATTCCCATGTATAGGCTGGAGTTGGTCCCGCGAAGGGCAGGGCCCCCTTCCTTCCTACAAAGGCCCAGCGAGCTGTGCAGCGCTCGAGGGCCCTTGTGCCTTCAAGTGGATGCGTGTGCATAAATGGGCTGCGCTTTGTGGGCTTGGCAAGTGGAACTGAGATGAGGGGATGGCACAAGCAGGGATGATTGCTCCAGCACGCAGGGAGCTAACGTGCAGGTGCTTTGTCATCACAACACAAACCCGGTGTCTCGGTAGATAGACTGCAAAAGCAAGAAGCGTTTTTCCTGGAAAAAGAACTGGAGGCTTTTTGAGAAGTCCTGGCCTCCATTCTCAGTAAATCCATGTTCATTCAGTTGCGTGCTAGGGACTTGAAGCAATGGTGGGGCAGGAGGGTGGCTGCCAGCAGCCTTTCCTCCCTGGAACAGCATCTTTGGGGGTGATGCGAAGCAGCAACATGCTCACGTTGGCCCAGGGCCTGTAATGAGCGGCTAACCCAGATATAAGCCTCGTATGACGTTTGCTTGAAACAGGCTGGTGCCTGCTACTAAATATTCCCTTATAAGCTAGTCTGGGTTTCAGCCTTAACGCGATTGATTTGTTCTGACCTCTTTTTATGGTGCCCTAAACAGAATCACAGTGAATTTCACATTCAAGCATGAAATGCTGACCCAGTCATTTTAAGGGCAAAGAGAAACATACTGGCTAGATGCCTCCTGCCCCGAGGGCTGAATGCCTGTGGCAGTAGAGTTGGGAATTAGAACTGCTACATATAAATTAAGACTTACTGTTTTAATTAAGCCATTTCTAGTTCCTGCTCCCTAGGTATATGTTTCCTGATCTTCTACGATGAACGGCAAGGGGTTGAGCAGTTCCGAAGCAAAACTTGCAGCGAGGAGGATGGTGTGTCTTGAGCAGAGTAGAGAAATAGGGAGAAAGAGGCTATTAAATTGTTATTCAAGAATAGTACCAAGGGAGAGAGAGGAGGGGCTGAGCCTCAGGACGCTGAGCTGCCAGCTGCTGCGTTTCTCCACATTTACAGCCAAAATCTGGACTGTAGCTTCAGATTAACTGCATCCTGCAAGTTAAGTAGCGACAGGATATGTCTGAAATTGCCCACTTCTGGTCCCGCTCT